CATCAAACTTAATTTAGATAAATTTCTTTAATAGACATAGAGGGTACCAATACTTATGAGACTGATTGTATATGCACCAGTAGGGTCCGAAAGGGTTAAGGTTGATCCTGCACTCTGTTTTTGGTCTAGTTGGTTCATTGAACGCGTGAAAGAGTATTTCTATTTGAAAACAGCGAACAGGGTAATAGAGAACTTCTTTGCTACCACTCCATTTAGATCTTCGTAAAGTAGACCTTTCTCTTGCACTCGAGAGTCACATAAAACTTTAGCGTCAGCTCTAACCCTTCTTTCAGATTTTAGAAAATAGCATCAACTTTAGTTTTAGTTTCGAAGCAGAAACGGTGACAGTATCCGTGACAGAGCTCGATAAACTTCAGCATACATTGTTGAGATTAATAATTGAGGCGAATGATTGTCAGATCAGCGTACTTTAGGAGGAGTCACGCAACTGGTATAATCCACTTTCTGCGTTGAAGATAGAGGAAATGGCGAATACTTGACTCAGCGTAGCCTGGTGAATCCTAACCCTTTGCACTAGAAGCCATTTTGTTACAGATTGTGTTAAGAGGAATCATATTGTATTAAATAATATAGCGTAAAAGGATGTAATTTATTGCAATGCTACTTTAATTTACTTGTTTGTGCTACTTGAATGTAAATCTTCAAAGAATTGTATGCCTTTGAAAATGTTGTGCTCGAGAGAATTTATCTGATCTCTACCAAAGTTCTCTGGACTTGCAACGTCCCCTCAGAAAGGACATCCGAGTGCAAAGGGCTAAAATCGTATTTTACAGGCTACGCAGGCTATCCTCGAATCGAATTGAAATCCTTTTTACATAAATATGTACATTTTCGTAATAACGAAAAAAGTGACCATTTTTTAGAATTTTCGGTTACTTCTATTGAAGTACAATGCTTCATCCGCTATCATAAATTGTTTGGTAGACAACTCACTCACTTACAAGTGAATATACTTAAAGTTTCATTCTTAGGGTGGCCAATCGTCCTTTTCGTTTGAAGGAACAAGCCTGTCTTCAGCTTTCTGTCCTCGCACTTTTATGGGCATGTGAAGGATCTCCTCTTTCTATATTTCCTATCAGCCTTCGATCAACGATCACGTTCCAAACGCTTGGCTCACCATAGGTGCAAGCGTCTGCCAATTTTTACGTTCCTCGGTATACAGGGTGGGGCAATAACTATTAGCACCTCCGATATATTCGAAACTGTAAGTTTCACAGAAATATTTGCTGAAATAAAATTGCACTCTCAGTCATCATTAGGTTTCACGCAGCAAATCTACAATACCTAATGTTTCTTTAGGTTTAATTTCTTTGGAGCTCCAAGTGTCAATAAAATGATTGTCGACGAGGTAAAGGTGATCTTACTCTCGAATCTAGATAGCTTAGAATTTATGGGAATAGAATGCTAAGAAACATCTCGAATTGCTGGTAGATACTAGGAAACAAGAGTGCAAAGGGTTAATAATTAATTTAACTACTGTCAGAAATTAATATTTAGTTGGTCCAATCAATAGATATTAAAATATTAACTTTTTCACTTTTAATGTCTCAAATGAATATTTATTTTGAACCGTAATTGTTGTTACTGTTTAATCGAAGCCTAAATGATACTATATTCATCATAAATGTTTAATTATGGCGGAGATATTAAGTTTTAATTGATCCGATCTCAACTTTTCATATTCGAAAATATTATTTTCACAAAAAACATTGGTATAATAACCTGAAACTTCAAAATGCACTTATAGTAACATTGAGTACTCTATTAAATATTAATAACAATCACAGTTCAGAATAAGTATTCATGGATCGCAGTAATCGTGAGAAATTTGTCTATATCGTTGTATCTCCCGAAATAACTAAAAATTAATTTCTGACGATAACTACATTAATTATTGACAATATTTATTTAAACAATGATCGAAAATATGATGTTATAGTTTCTATAAACCTATAGTTTCGAAGATATCTGAGGAACTAATAGTTATTGTCCCACCCTGTATAGTCGAACGTCTAGAAGCTTTGTCGTTAAACTTTATAGAGGTGTTCCCAGCTTCGTCAGGGTTCAATAAATAAGCGCGTCTGCCGCGAATGGGAGTGCAGTCCTACCGTGATTTTATGAGACGTTAAACTCTCGTCTGGCGGATGTTGAAGGATCATTAACGTCGTTACGCTGTTCTTGATTTGAGAATTATTTTCGTAGACGAAAAGTCGTGAACTGTTTGTTATCGTAGCCACTCGTTGCATCGGGTAATATAAATTTACGATAGGAAACGTTGGCACTAAACGTAAAGTGCATGGGTTCGATTTTCTATAATAATCGCTATCAAACTTGCTATAGTTTACATTTTTCTCAAGCCATAAAGCTTTCTTTCGTGAAGTTAGAACGAAAGTTAGTTTAGACGATAGAAATGTAGATTAGGTTTGCTTGTAGTTAACTACAGTCATGTGTACTTTATTTAAAATATACGAATTGAACATGTTCGATACATTAGGTCTACCGGAAAGTTCTGTCCGTTCTGGTTATAAGTTTTTAACAAGTATGTACATATTCGTTAAAAACGATGTGTAAATTGCAATCATGCTGGCAAGATGTCATAAATAATGATAAAAATTATATTATTCAATCAAATTTGTTCAAGGTATGAGAATTTTATTATGTTGTGTTATTCTAAAAAGGAATAGAACTTTCCGGTAAACCTAATATGTTACGATATACA